CATGCCAAGGCACTTGCCACATCTTGGGACCTGATCACCCAGACACACTTATTGGCGAGCACTCTTTGGTCTGGCAATCTAACTGGTCCTCACGGCCCCTTTGGTGATAATGGTTTCAATACCGACAAAAATCCTGTGTAAGCCCCTGTAACCCAGGTTTTGCGCTGCAGGTTCCCTATCAATGTGCTCACCCCCCTACCCAGGGCATCTGTCTACTTGGTGCTGGCTCCGCGTTGGGCCAGTGGATGAGGTCATGTTGATTGGGCAAATAAGTAGATGACGACTCAGCTAGGTGGAGGCTTCCCCACCCTTTGCCCGCGTCATAAAAGCCACTCCGTGGCCATAGTTTGCTAAACTAATGAGTATTTTACACTCTCAAAGGTATGTATGCCGTAATAACTTCCGCTCGTCGACAGATCGCGGCCGATGCCTTGGATTGCGAGATTTACCAGCCAAAGGAAGATGGCAAAGACGATCGGAAGAAACCCGCCGTGGTAGGTGGCACCGGAAGAACTCCACTTGCCATTGTCGACTTGAATCAGACCAGCACGCTATCGAACAGCGACTTTCTGGAACTTCAACGTCTTCGTTCCGAAAAAGAGAATCGTCGTTTGGAAGAACAGAATCGCCTCTTGCAACAGCAACAGCAGCAACAACAGCAAATGATGATGCAGATGCAGATGCAAGCCCAAATGCAGATGCAGATGCAAATGCAACAACAGATGAATCCCATGGCAATGATGACCGGCTTCGCTGCTATGATGGGAATGGGAATGAACGGCAGCATGATGAGTAATGGAATGAATCAAAACAATATCCGACGCACAATGACACCACCCATGAATCAAATCAGCATTGCACAAAACAACAATCCACGATTCCTGTCCCCACTTTCATCGAATGGTACCGTATCATCCAACACTTCCACGCTTGCCGTCATTCAAAACCTACCTGGAAACAACAATCAAAACCCACAAAACGACGGGACGAATGGCCATAGTGGAGGTTGGAATGGCAACAATGGCGGATGGAATGGCAACAATGGTGGTTGGTTCAATTGAAAACGGCATAGTTTCGACTTTGGTTTGTTCTTTCCAGGTGTCGATTTTATGAACTGAAATGATTGCTGAACTGAAATGAAATCCGGTCGATTTCTTTCTTGCATCCGATTCGCATTGGTCCCCTGGGAGTTGATCCTCTCTTTACCTTCCGTTGGCTAAGAACCCCGATAGCTAGCAACAATTTTTATGGTTTAAATTCTCTTGCAAACAAATACCATAGTAATTGTTTCAGAAATTGAACAATCTTCATTGTAGCTTAAAGATACGGTTTAGTCTATATTTTTCTGGGATTAAATCCAACGCCGATTGTATCTGATGCACATCGACTTGAACAGATGCACATCACTCCAAAAATCGTACTCGGAATCGATTCAATCGTACTAAGTTTGCCAACTTTGCAGCCTTCAATTTGCCATTGTTGCTATCCCAGAGACTCAAAAAGAAATAGAGATACTCTACGGACCGGTACCAGGAATAGCAACAAGCCGCTTTTGTAGGTGACGACGTTGAATTGATGTTGGCTCCTACTTACGCTGAGTATCGACTGAAATTTGTGTTGAACATGGTCGCCGAATTTCTGTAATTAGAGAGGGACGTTAGAGGTGCGCGGGGGAACTTGTTTGATTAGGACAAAAAATTATTTAAGGGTCAATTTAATTAACGCCACACCCCAGGTTATTTTACTTATGAGAGCCCCGGTGTGTTGTCTGTTGTTACTTCCTCAGTCACCAGTGGATCTTTTGGACGAATTGACGACTTCTTCCTCGCTTATAGGCCGCTCTCTACCCAAGCGACTAAAGTAGCGACTAAGCCATATTTCGTAGTTTAGTCGATAGTTTAGTCTCTGAGGGTGGTGTCTACCCAAGCGACTAAACGTCCCACGGACTATTGGCTTTAGTCATTATGTTCGCTCATCGACTAACGGGAGGCTGGTTAGTCGGTGAGCGAACATAACGACTAAAGCTTCTTTAAGAACTCTTTAAGAATGAATGAATGAATCTTCAACCAGCCTCATTGCACAGCCTCAACAAGAGAGGCAGCTACTTGCCCAACAAGGAAGCAGCAACTCAACCGTTTTAGTCACTGATTTTATCCAAAAGCTTCTGTTTAAGGTCTACAGTGGCGATACTGTCCTCATCATCATCATCAGAGTCTTCCTCTTGTTCTTCCTCTCCTTCTTTCAGCGATACGGAGCGAAATGGCTGCAGCGAAATCCAAAAGGAAAACGTTGGTTAGTCGAACGTTTAGTCGATCGTGGTAGATAACGTTTTTCTTAAATTTTTGACTAAAATATCGACTAAACTGGATAGTTCGAGATTTAGTCCGTGGAGGGTAGACACCTCCTTGACTAAAGGTTACGGACTAAATCTGCGACTAAACAAGGTGCTAAAGTACTCCTTTAGTCCCTACTTTAGTCGCTTGGGTAGAGAGCGGCCTTTTCTAAGTAGGATAGTATTATTGACGTTGAAAATCCCTTTCTTCGCACGGCTATTGGATTGCTCTACATGTACCATGTACCTCTCTCGCCAGGGATTTGTCGATGAATGCCATTCCCTACGCCTCTGTCTTGGGCGGATACTACCGCCGTCGGCTTTGGTCCTCCTGATCCTTCGACGGATGCCGAAGTGACGGCGACGTATGCTCATTGTTTGGTACATCGATGGGAGGGAAGTCATGTTGGCGAGCTGAACATGGTGGGGTACAGCAATGCCAATTTTTGGGGCAAGGCTACTGTTCGTCGAGCGGAAAAAGCTCCTGCATCACTGGTGCCATATGAAGCTATTCGTAAGGAAATGGAATCTCTGTTGGGAATTTCGGACGCTCCTAGTAGTGAGACTGTTCAGACCATAAAAGAACCATTATCCTCGGAGGCCATCGAAGCAGGAAGGACGTGGTTCGAGGAATGGATCAAATCAGACCTACCAGACGGTGGCTGGGAACCAAGAGCATTGAATGAACTCTGCAAAACACTAGAAGGTTTGCGAAACCCTGACGACCCAAAGGCTGAATTTGGGTCTCGAGCGGCGCAATTGGAATGTGATGTTTTGATTCAGTACTGTTTGGAAAAGGCAGGCTATGTCGTACCAGAGCCCCAATCCAGAACAAAAACCAACGCTCCACAGGCTAAAGACACGACAATATGCGATGAAGACCGGGACACAGCTCTACGGGCAGCGGGCAGAGTGTCTTCGGCACACTCTAACTCATTTCAGCAAAATGGAATCATTATCATTCGGAATGCACTGATAGATGGACCTGAAACTGTGTCCTCGGCGGCCGTCGCCTGTCGTTTGATGGGTGCACCTGCTTGTAGGAATTTCGAGCAAGATGATGGCTCACCTTCCGCATATGTCTACTACACCGATCAACCAGAAACAGTGGGTGAATTCGACCTGTCTCCAGGCGATCTCTTGGTATCCTCCTTCGAGAGAATCAGCAGCCATCAGGCCTCTCTTGTCACTTGGCAGGGAGCATATGTGGCTTGCTCCGCTGAGGACAACAATGCAGTATATCGTGATATTCTTTTTGGGACCAGGGGTGAAACTCCCACCACAGTAATCCAATGGAGCAAAGGAACCATCTTTTGAGACAGCTTCGTGTTGAAGGTTCTTCTGAGTTACTTATAAGGATCCTCGCTAGTCTCGCTCTCAAGCATTGACTGATGTCTCGACCAGAGACTACAATGCAACATGTCAGGGATTACGACATGGTGCGTCCAGAATACCTATCCAGGTACCACAGCGGCACCCGATACTCGTTTGCTCGGTGCAGTTGCTTTGCGGACGATCATTTCTTTAGAAACACTACAGTGTGTACGCAACGATATCTTTTACTATTCATCATTTACTATGCACTTCGTAAAGAAGAGTATTCGGGAACCCAGTTTTGAAGTTTCTATCTGCTTCATCTACCGCACGACCTCTTTGAACTTGATAAACGGTGACAACCGCAGGTTCCTTGACACCTTACATAAAAAACACGTACAAAATACTTCACATGGTTTCTTCGATTCATTCGGCCTTCGAACAATTCACTGGATATACGAACATTCTATTCAGCAACGTTGCTCAAACTGCCGTCTCGTCCGGAAAATCGTATGACGCAGGAGCTGGTGCTGGTACTGGAGCTGGCTCTGGTGGCTCGTCTCTAAAGTTGTCTCCTCCGGCTAGGGAGTCGACCTCGGGATCATCTCCTCGTGCGGAACCTTCACTGCCCTGATTGTTCTGGTAGGCGAGGAGTCCCACCGCTGCTACAAAACCAGCGACACCAAGTCCAATCAAGATCCAAGCCCACGTAGGAGTGCCACTGTCCTCTTCTTCGACTGATCTTGTAGCGTCATCTGGGGTGGTGCTCAGGACTGTCCCTGGGGCGATATACCGCACGAACAGCAAATCGTCGCTGACTGTACCGTTGTCGAAAGTCCCACTCGTCATGGCAGCGTTCAAAGTAGATTGCACAACATCGCCGACCCAGGTCAAGTTTCCAAAGCCATACAGGGTAACAATACCTTCGACTACCCAGCATGTCAGTGGTTGACCATCAGGCCCCAACCCTGTGACTGGGGAGGGGCAAGCATCTGTGGAGAAAGCACAAAAAAGATTAGATCCAGTTGCACACCGCGAAAAGAAGTGGAACCGCCCCCAACGACCTACTTTGGAGCCTTCCACGGATGACTTGATCTGCCGGAGCAGCAGTGAGACCGACCACCTCGTTTTCGCCTATCATTGGCAGCATTGTTTCTGGTGGAAGGGTGCCATTGGGGAGCAAAGTATCGTTGAAAGGAAACGAAGCGTTCTGGAGACTGCGTTCTAACAATGTCCGAGGATGCCCACCCTTGTCCTTTTTGCTATCAAGGGACTTTGCCTTCTTGGCATCAAGGGGGGCGAGATTGCTGGTGAACCAAGTCAGTGCCCATTTTTGTGCAATTGATTTATCAGTTTTGGTTTCGTCAGCAACGCCCTGGACCATCATGACAGGCTTGCCATGGCGTCTAATGATTGTAGTCGAAAGCGGGCGTTCCACACATTCCCCATCTTCAAAGAACAACGGTGGCACCAAAACGTCACTGATGTCCCTCTCCACTAAAGGCAGAATGGAATCGTTCAAATCATCAGCAGTAATAGTTGATGTCGTTTCCACTTGGAAGCGGTAAACAACCTCTTCTGATTGCGGAGCAATGGAAGATCCAAAGTCTCCATTGTCATCAGCCACGCAGACATCTTGCAGCTCTGATGTTTCCACAGATGTGGGTGGTGCAGTGGAGGAAGCGGTAGTGGGGGAAGAGGTGGGCACGCCAGTAGGGGTGCGCGTGGATGCCGACATTGTCGGCAATTGGGTGGGGACACTGGTAGTTGGTGCAGCACTTGGAGCTAGACTTGGAGTGCCCGTAGGCATCGAAGACTCAGTAGGTACATTCGTCGGGCGCAATGTCACGGTTGGAGCGCTAGTGGGTCTCTTGGAAAGACTGTGTGGCTTCCTGGTTTCGGGCTGGTTTGTCCTACGAGTTGGTGCAGCCGTGGGCCAAGAGGGAGTGGGTCTTGGTGTAGGTCTTGGAGCAAAGAATGACGGTGGATGAACCGTAGGCGTCTTTGGAGGAGTAGGTCCAAAGAAGGAGGGAGGATAAACAGGGCTCAATGTTGCAGGCGCCTTTGTGGCTTCACCTGGAGACGGCTTTTCCTCCTCCGGCTTGGCTATGTCTGGATCAACAGTCGGCTCACCAAAAGACGGCATGCCATCGGTGGGGGTCATCAAAGACGGGGCAAAATCGGCAGACGGTGCCATGATAACGGCAGGAGCACCTGCCGGGGGCCGGCCAGTTCCAGGAGCAATGGATGGCTGGTCTCGCGAGAACATGTTGCCATCTTCACCCATGAATGGTGGCACATCGGCAGAAGGTGATCTGTCAAAGAAGGGCTCAAAGTACTCATCCATCGATGTTACCTCTTTGAGAAAGCCGGGGTCCGCTGACGACTCTTGCGGGCCCGCGGCATATTTTTCTTCGTCTTCATCTTGACCTCGTTTTCCACCTTTCTTCATACCATTCATGGGCTTGTCAAGCTTGCGCTTGAGTCGACGCTGAGTCCTGTCCACGTTCTGTCTAGGTCCCCTCTTCAGGAGCCATTTCCCACCGGTCGCTCGGGTGGCAGCTTGGGCTCCCTTTACTAGAGTTTTCTTAGTCATGATTGAATGACGACAACGCGACAATACTGGTGCTGCCTATTTCTCTCAACGCCTTCGTCACCTATTGGACCTGATCGATGATTGCAACTCTTCGTTTGTGCAAACGATGGCAACCAAGACTATGATATTCCCTACAAAACAAACCCTTTTACTGATTTTCATCATACTCGGAGAAGTTGGCAAGAGGCTTGCCATTGTTGTGGCTTGCTACACGAAGATGGTCGATGATTTTGTGGATGCAACCCAAAATTGCAGGGCATTTTTCGCGCATGTGTGTCGCACAACAAAATATGCTTACTTACTGGTTCCGCTTCGTAATTGATCCTCAAATTAAGGAAATTTAATTAAAGGACGCGCACCTTTGGCGCAACAATTTGTCTAAGTAACCCTAAGCAGCCGGGGGATGTTTGACTCAAAAGCACACTCATCTTTTCTACTTCGTGTAGAGTGTGGCCTTCGGTTCTCTGGATTTAGGCCTCCCGTTTGTCTTCCGCAAAAGGTTTGGAGACAGGTGGATATCTACCATACTGTAGTGGTAGCTAGTACTGGAAACCATAGTAGCACAGTAGCAGTATCATTGGCTAGCTAGAGTCGTGTTCTTCTTTTCTTGGCCAGTATGATACTCCATTGAATCTTCTCATGATGCATCTTCATCATCCATGAGAGTTACTGTTAGCTACTGTCTGGTGGAGCGATTTGGCCCATCCAACATCTTTTAATTAAAAAACATAATCAGCAATCAGCACACGCCAATAATATCAAACTGGCTACCGACGAAAAGAAGCAACACCAAAAGAAAGTTCTCTAGTTAGCTAGAAGGCAGTTTTAAGAAGAGCTCGGTATGTTCGCAAGGTGGTACCACCAGCCAGTAGTATGGGATGCCCAATGCCGGAGCAGAGCCTTTCAAGAGTACTTATTAGTACTTGCCTACTCCCTCCGTTCCGAGCTAATCTAACATCAGCGCCGGCCGTACACAAATTGCTATAGTGAAATCGCCAGCCGTCTTAGCGAATCGACCGTTAACTCATGATAACTGCCAAATATACCTAAATCGACCTTTTTCAAAGCCTTCTAAGAAGCCTGACTTTGTTCGTTATGTCTTCTCCAAATTGAGAAGGTTCGATTGGTATATTACACTTATATGTTTGTATGATGATGTCTTTCTGAATTGGTTCAATAAATCCAAGATTACAAAAATCGATTTTTGAGGGGACCTGGTGGCTTAAAGAGTGCACAATTTATATATCAATATATACATGGATTTAAAGAGCAGGAAATTAGCTTTCTAAATCCGTTTTGCTTGCTTTAATTGGTTGAGTTGAAGAAAAGGTGCATCGATTTCCCCTGGACCTGCAGATTAGCTTGGAACGGAGGGAGTACGCTGTAGCTAGTGCACCCAGCAAACTACATGTATCTGAGAAGCTTTCTGGTGCATGGAAGTGCGAGCACTCAGCACTATTATGCTACGGAGTATTCGTACCGGCACCACCATACACGTGTACCACTGGTATCTACCGTAAACGGTACCTGTACCGTATACGGTATCCAGCGGCCTGAGTTTGGATTTCATTCACGCGTTAAATCAATCACGCTCCACTCCCCTTGATGTTTCTTTTCTCCTTGTGGATTGGATCGCCAAAGATTTTCTTGTACTAGCTAGTAGAGCACAGCGTACCTTTGATCAAGGCGATGGCGCCTTCAAAGAGTACCGGTTTCCGCCGATCGACGGTAACTATCCTTGTGTTGGGTCTACTTCTCACAGTGCAGATTCGCCTGCAAGCTAGTACAGGGAGGAGCTTCGTCTCATTTCTCTTGCTGGATGCGGCCCAGGAGCCATCGGAAGAAGTTATTGTCAACAGCACGCAAGGGAATCCTGGCTTTGTCGATGCCAGAACAAGTACCGGTACTGGGAACACTGAGCATCGACCTGATGCAGAACTATCCCATCAGATTCCAGCCAGCGCTGATACGATTTCAACTCCAGATCAGGAAACTCTGAAGGATGACTCTTCCAACACATTTACTTCTACCGAGCAGGAAGCTTCGGTCACGGAGAAGCTAGCATTTTCCATTGATGGGGACACCAAAAAAGACGCAAATGCCGAACCCAAAAGGCCCAAAAAGCCTCTGAACGTGATTGTTCTCTATCCGGATGATTGGAGACATGATGATATCGGGGGAGTGGCTCCCGTTGTGCGGACTCCGTTTCTCAATCAGCTTGCACAACAAGGCATTCGTTTTACCCACAATGCTGTGACAACGTCAATTTGTTGGATTAGTAGGGCAACCCTTTTCACGGGTCAATATGCGAGTCGACACAAGTCACTGAGAATACGACAGCCACTGTTTTACAAAGAATGGGACAAAACGTGGCCGTCCTTGCTGCAGAAAGCCGGCTACTACGTGGGGCATGTTGGCAAGTGATATATGATTGCCATGTGTGTGTGTGCTCTTCCCCGTTTTCAGTGAATGCTAATACTTACTTGTCAACCTGCTGTTGTTTTGAAACAGGAAAGTGGCAATACCAAAACCGAGGGGGAATCGTCCAATCGCTGTTCAACTGGACGAGTTTGTTTGAAGGCCAACACTGGTACAAAGGTGAGCCGGCTGCCAACTATACTCGGGACGAGACCATTCGGTTTTTGAAGGAACGACCCAAAGATCGACCCTTTGCTGCGACCATAGCTTTTTATCCTCCGAAAGGTAAGCAAGGCTGCAGTGGAGTATGACATCGACAGACAGCTGATGTGGTTGCAGTTTATACCAGTGGTCACCTCATGCACCCCTCTTCTATATTACCAGCCGTCACGCTCAATCCTACTCCGGGGGCTCAGTTTAAACCCAGCAAGAATCACTATGAGAATGTCACCATCCCGGTCCTTCCCTATAACTGGAGTGAATCGCACAACCGTCTTCCTTGGTTCTTTCAAACCGATGAACGTTTTGGTAAACACCGATTCAGTACTCGCTGGCAAACTGCAGAGCAATACCAATTGGGAATGCAGCATTACTACAGTCTGATCACAGAGGTCGATCAAGCATGTCGAGAGATCGTGGAATTTCTTAAAGAGGAAAACATATTAGAGGATACTCTCGTCATTTTCACAACCGACAATGGATTGTTTCATGGAGCGCACGGATTGGCAGGCAAGTGGTATCCATACTCTGAATCGATTCGGATTCCATTGATTATAAGGGACCCGAGAATGCCGCCATCATCCACCGGCACTTTGAATGATGATCTTACACTCAATGTGGATTTGGCACCTACCATTTTGGGAGCTGCTGGCATTTCAAAGCCGGAAAGTATGCAAGGACGGGACATGTCAGATCTTTATCTCACGGAGGACGAACGATCCTCCTCTGCTCCATCCTCCTCTGCTCCATGGCGCAATGAATTCTACTATGAGTTCCCTCTCGACAATGGAAAGGCCATGCCCACATCGAGCGCTGTTGTACGACACGACATCAAGTTTATCCATTGGTGGCATTACAACTACACGGAACTCTTCAATCTGACAGCGGATCCTTTAGAACAACACGATGTCTCCAATGAGACTTCGTATGCCAGCATTTATCTGGAGCTACAGGCTCGCCATGCACAACTGCAACAATCAGTTTTGTAGTATATACCTGAAGGAGAACAACAATACCGTTGATGTACCTGACCCTACAATGAATGCGAAGTTTGCCGTTTGGACTTACAAATAGAGAATGCTATGGCTGGGTAAAAGGTATCTGAATGCAAAGGGTCACCAGCAGCCCCCACCATGCTGTGGATGGAAAAGCACCCACAACAGGTCTTGGGGCCAGGAAACAATTGCTTGATTTGTACGGTTGCAGAAATTGTAGGGTCTCACTGTGGTAAAATTCAAGTCTCATACAAGGCAACTGCTGGTGTGTCTTCCACTAACAGCTAAAGCTTGGGTAATTTCTGGCTAGCTAGCACTGCCATCGTCAATTTTATCACGGTTTTCGCAAAAAGTGCTGAACTGGTACTAGTACATGTACCGGCACTCTAATAGTATATTCCACGCCGAGGGTTGCAACCCTCTCACGATAGAATTCGAATGATGGAAAATCAAATCGAATGCTTGAATTCTGTTGTTCGATTACCACATTTTAGTATCCGTTGACGAGCCGTCGTCTCCGCTTCCCACTCTTTTGAAAAATGCTCCTCACAATTTCAACTTTCTGAGTGCTTTCGCTGTCACATCGCTGCTGGTTGCTGGTGTTAGCTTCCCGCCTGTGGCCTGACAACAGCATCACCATGGGATCCAATGGAAGAACCGACAATTTGCGGCAAGATAGTGAAGCCATTAGAAGTACTATTAATAGTAGTATTGACGTGGTGACAACCATGAAACAGTCAGCTCCTGCACCACCACCGTACCCTACACCGGTGCTTTTGGAGAACCAAGAAAACCAACGAAAGCTGTGCGTCGGAGTACAGAACCATTGTTTCAATCCAGAGGAACGAAATGTGTTTTCTCCTCCTACAGTGCCGCTTCCCAAGCTCACCAAATCGCCATCACCCGCTCCTACCCTTAAAGCTGCAACATTGGCGCCTTCATCCGATCGCAATGACGAGTCAGAGTGTAAATCGGACGAACAAGGCAACTATGGTGACGTGGATGGGACATCCTTTCGCATCGTGTCGTATCGATATCAAGTCGAGACGACCGAGGGTATGACGGCCGTAGATTTGGATGTCGAAGTCTTGCAGTATGTCGAAAAGTCCATTAGTGACCTCATGGTCCAACGATTCTTTGCCGACTCCTGTTCTCCTCCTCCCATTAATGTCGTTATCCCCAACAATAGCAATCAGCAGCAACAACTCCAGCTGCAAAAGCTCTTTCTCAAGCCTCAGAGCACCGAAAAGCGAGCCAACAACGGAGGACTGCGAAAGCTGCTACCGGCCTTGGGGACCACCGGTATGAGAAAGATGAAAACGGAAGACCACGAAGAGTTGGTTGGTTTGAGTGCAGAGCCGCTGGATCAAGTGCTGGAAGACGATGACGGACGTAAGTACCGGTAAAAATGAACAGTTATTGCGGAAGACCCTCTACTGACTGACTAACTGTACTTCACTGCACTGCACTGTATTCAGAGGCATGCCCCTTTCCAACGACGACGGGGCCATGTTTCGTTGTTGGTGGAGGTTTGACTATGTTTGGGGATGGCAGCACTAGCATCGGCAGCACGGGGGGTCTTTTGTGGGTAGACGAGGGGATTCACGAAGAATTGCAATCATCAATGGATTCAGGGGAGCTGGAAGCTATGCTGCAACCATACCACCCAGAAATCACAGCAATTCGATACATCCCTCCTGGCACAGAGTTGCCAAACCCACCACCCTCGTCAGATCCCGATGAAGCCGTAATAGATGAAGGATTCATCGGTGCAAGGTCTTCGGCATGGTCATGGGTGCTGATTGGACTCGGCTTCTTTCTCATGCTTGGAGTGTTCCTTTATATTTTCATTTCGCGTCGTCGAGACACGCTGGAGGAGGAACGAAGCTCTACGGTCCAAGCTGGGGCCTTCCCCGTTGTCGTCACCAAAACAAACGTGGATAGCGTGCAAGATGCAGAGAGCGAGTCACCGAGCAGTAGAGCCGCTAGCACGTATGCGGAGATTTCAAGGTATTATTCCGAGTCCTCCGAGTTGATTCTGAGAAGGAACCAATCGGATAGCGACGATGACGACGACGAGGAAGGCATTCCTCTGCACGTCTTTCATGATGATGAAAACTCGCCGCGACAGCCACCGATCGGAATTTCGACAAGCTGGAGAGACCAGATTCTGCGTGACGAAGCACCCTTGTCACCTCCCAGCAAAGGAGCCGTGTCTTCCATATCGTTGGATCCAAGCCAACCCATTGTCACACCCATTCTAGACGACGAAGGTGGCCACATTATGATGACGCCAAAGTCGCAATCACAACAACAATCGTCTCCCGAGTACTCGCAGTACCACAGTGTCAACTCGGGTACGGGCAGTGAAGAATACTTTGGTACATCGCCACGAAATTTTCACAACATGTCATCAGCCGAGTTCTCACGGTATCATAGTGCCTATTCGGGCTCCGATGCTGCGAGTACCTTGTCCAGCTCACCGAGACACTGGAGCCCGACGAAACATGAGTCGCCGTCAAAACTAAAGGTGGCATTCGACAAAGCAGAAATAATCTAGCATGGGTAAAGATCATCTTAGGATACTTGATTTGTGGTATTCTTTATTCCTCCACGTTCTCGTTAAAACATGAATAAATCACATTCATTTCACGACGTGGAACTCATCAAATCAAGCATCAAGATGTTGATCACAGCATCTTCGACGCTGTATAGGTTTCTCACTCTCTGACAAAGAGCACGGTTTCGCTCCAACTTTTCTTTTGTTCTCGTTGTTGCACGCTCTCCTGGTCCATGAAAACTCTCTCTTCAATAGAGCATGTTTGGTAGCTCCGTATCCATGGTCATCGTGCCTAGGTAGCCAGCCGGCTAGTAGTGCCCTTGTTGCGCAGCCTTGAACCGTTTGTTAGGCCTTGGTTGGGCCCAGCTTTCCGTTGGCAAGGCAATCTTGCAGCATCGCTTCCGGGAGGCAGCTTCTTGTTGCACAATGCCACGCAACAGGCCTTGCTTCATGCTAAAGTCTAGCATGTCGTTTGGAATCAACTCCTCCAAGTCAAATGTTGTCGTCTGATCACTATGGATCAAGTTCAAAAGGAAACGGAAACGAATGTTTGTGAGAATGGGAACAGAAAGAAAGTGGCTGCACACACTAGAACGTGCAACATCTTGCTTTGTATACTTACAATCCCATGTGGCGGAGAACCGAGTTGTCATCGTGCAGAGCAAATGGGGCGTTCACATCAATCATCAAATCGGTGAGATCGCAACTTGCATCGCATTGCACCTCGGCGTAAGGGTGGGCGTTCAGAACGACAAACGGAAAGGCAACCTTCTTGGCGGAGAGCCCAAGTGCGGCCCTTTGCTTGTTGGATCGGACCAGGTTGCGATTCGCAATGTACTGCACGAGCTTCTCGCGTAGTTCGTCTTCCTTCTGATGGATCCCATTTATACTCTTGTCGTGTTCCGCAACTAGCCGCTGCAACTCGCTGTCGTCATGTCCATCCGGCATTCCTTTCCAAGTGATATCTTTGTTTTCCTTTTCAATGACATCTACTGCTTCCAGGACATTCAACGCGTCATAGAGACGCCTACGTAGATTCTTGTCGTCGCAGACCCTGTCGTCGCCCTGTGATCCTTGCTCCGTTTGGACGATTTGTAGCAGCTCATCAGCCAATTCATTGCACGTCACCTTCCCTCTGGATTGCACCTTCTCACAGATCTTGACACTCATATTTCGAAGGCCTAGCGTCGACGAAGCAGATGTGCTGCCCTTCGACGTCGGGAGGCTACACGGGTCGTCGAGAGCAGAGACATGATGCTTGCTGAACGTTACAGCCTTCGAGGACGCTGCCTTGGTCGGAGTCACTCGAGAAAAGGAATGCTTCTTGGAGCTGGAACGCTTTCTGGATGCTCCAGTGGCACGGTTTCGCGGCGTCGAAGAGCTACCGGTAGCATGGACCGCGTACTGCGAGATCGAATGCTTCTTGGTGACAGCTCTCTTGGATCGTCGTTTGGCTATAGACCCATCGTAGTTAGTTGTCCCCTCGGTCCAGTCTTGATCGCTCTTTTCCATTCTCTCCGGGAGAGTGGATTATGGCAAAGGAAAGGATCGAGGAGTCTAAAAACAATGATGCATAACTTGACACCTGCGAAGATGAAAACAGGCAGCGCAGTGATGCCGTTGGCCCATACTCAACGTGAAACTCAACGTGACATTGGCGGGCAGAACCTTCTTTCGTGGCTTCCGACTGCAGTTTGTTTTCACACGACTGTGGCCCAGGAAGCGAAAAGTGAGGCACGAAAATTATTTTCTCTCAGACAGTAAATCCATACAAAAGCCAGCAAAAGCTGCAATAAAACCACAAAGCGCAAAAGACGCAGCACCTGTGCGATGTCACTGGCAAGAGGTACGATGTAGCTCTCCTTTGGGTCGTTGGTTGACAGCCCTCACAAAGAAGCATACCACTGGCTTGCCTCGATGTAGCTCAGCTCTATACTAATAATGATCACTTTGGATGTTCTGTTGATAATGGCGCTTCTGCATAGTACTCTTGCGACGTTTTTATCCTCCACCCCCAAGTCTAGCCCTTCTATTCTTTTTGAAAGGGCGACGAGGGCGGCATCAACACGCATACCTCGGTTTATGTCTACAACTGCCACTGTCACCGATGAGAAGATAATGGAAGATGCGCTTTATCGTGTTCGCCAAGTGAATTACCTACCTGATGAAATCCGATCCAGTCTTGTGGATTTCAGAGTGGATGGAAGGGTGCTAGGAAAAGTGAGACCAAATACCGCCAATCTACTCTGCTCTGTAGACGAGAAGAATCCTGTATTCAACCTGCAGTCCAAATCTGGAGAGTCCTGTTTGACGCTCACAGCTGAAGCAGGGACATCTCCCGAAGAAAGAACCAAATCTGTCAATCGAATCATGGCACGTCTGCGTGATCAAGGTATTGTCAAGGGGTGGCGTGATGAAGACTATCCCGTCCGATCGACCTTTTATGGCGACACTTTGTTTGGGGTGGAACGGGCAGCTGCTTCCTTGTTGGGCATTATGGAATATGGAGTGCACATCAATGGCATTGTTGTAGACGATGAAACAAAGACTCCCAAAATGTGGATGGCAAGACGTGCTGCCGACAAGAGCAAATACCCAGGTATGCTGGACCATATTGTGGCAGGTGGGCAGCCTGTGGGATTGTCTCTCATGGAAAATGTCATTAAAGAATGTGATGAAGAAGCTGGAATCCCAGAAGACATCACCCGTGCTGGCATCCAAGACGCTGGAGCAATATCCTACTACACCTACTCCGAACGGAATGATTGTGTGACACGATGCGTCCTGTTCTGCTATGATTTACATCTCCCAGCTAACTTTGTACCCAAACCAGTTGATGGAGAGGTGCAGGAATTCTTTCTGTGGGATGTGGATCAAATAAAGGCTAGCTTCGCCCCCGACTACCCTGATCCAATCAAGCCGAATTGTTACAATGTCATTATCGACTGGATGATGAGGTGTGGCCATTTTTCTTCGGATACCCCTGGGTATCTGGACGTCATGAGAGAACTTCGGAGTGGTGATGTCTATTGAACGCAATGTCATAGCAAAGCTATAATTCACTGCGACCTATTTGTTCTTGTTTGTCACTCATTTTCAACAGTTTGTTTGGGAAGAATTGTAAACATGATCCGTAGCGTGAGAGGTGCAACATGCACATGTGTGGTAGGTGATGTGTGGAAGAGGGGTGTGGCGAAGACCCATCTACAGCAGGAAAGATACACTATAGCAAAAGGCTTTAGTGGAGCATGGCGAAGACGCTGAACAGATGTCGTGCCAACAGCCGTAGATGAAAACAGAAACTCCAACAAGACGGCGGAGACCAATAGTTCAAAAAACACCCTTTATTTTGAAGGCTGGCCACTTATTGCGCATGCGAAGAAAGCAACGAGCCTCATCCGAAAGGGGTGACCACTTTTCATCTGCCAATTACCCAAGACAACAGCATAATGATTAATCGTAAAAACCAGGTTTTTAAGAATTAATTATCATTGACCCTGACTTTACATCGTCGTAACATTGAGCTGATTCACAAAAGGATTTCACGAAAGCAAGAGAGGCACCAAGTCCATTAATTTATTCCCCCTTTTCCTCTGGTTCTGCACCTTCATCACCATCTGCTGTGTCACTTGTCCAGAGGGTCAAGTTGTCACGCAGCAATTGCATGATCAAAGTGGAATCCTTGTAGCTTTCCTCGTTCAGAGTGTCGAGTTCTGCAATAGCGTCGTCAAAGGCTTGCTTGGCGATTTGGCATGCCTTGTCAGGGCTGTTGAGAATTTCGTAGTAGAACACGGAGAAGTTAAGAGCCAATCCAAGACGGATGGGGTGAGTAGGGGGTAGGTCGGATGAAGCGATTCCACTGGCGGCCTGGTAGGCATCCAAAGCAGCTCCAGCGCTCTCTTTGCGTGTGTCGCCGGTCTGGAACTCGGAGAGGTAACGGTGGTAATCTCCCTTCATCTTGTAGTAGAACACCTTGGCTTCCTCAGAGGTGGAGTTGGGGATCAAAGACTCCTCAATGATTCTGTTGTAGATGAGTCGAGTCGAGTCAACATTAAGAGAATGCCAGATGAGAAGTCATATCCAAAATGACGGTAAAGACCCCGCATTGCTGCACAGCAGTTCCACCAACAGACACTCACCCAAGGATGTCGTTACAGATATCCACAAGTTCAGTCTCGATCTTGGACTTGTAGTCCTTGATGATGGTCATCTTCTCGGGATCTCCCTTTTGTTCAATGGAGGTCACAACACGCCAAGAGGCACGACGAGAACCAATCACGTTCTTGTAGGCAACGGACAACAAGTTGCGCTCTTCCACAGTCAACTCCTGAGGCTGCTTGGCAACCTCCTTCATGTCGGAGACCATCTCATCAAAGCGCTCGGCTTGTTCGGCCAACTTGGCCTTGTATACCAAACTGTCGCGGTCCATGGTGGGGTATCTTTGTTTTTTTACGTGGGGTATGCACTGATCCTTTTCTGGTGGATGGATTGTGTGCTCTCAATTGTGCTGTGAAGCTCTGAAGCGCTTTCGAAAGCTTTCCACAATCAGTTGGTTCTTGTACCGGTGGTTTACTTACATGTACTTGACTTACTCGTACTCTTGGAATGACCGTCGTCCGTTCCCGTCAAGCTCGGGAATCGAATCGGGATGGCCGCTCCGACTTGGTTTGGCGACCGAAATGGCCTGCCTGGCTGTTCCAATAGTGGAATTTTGTACTACACTCCTCCCTTGATATTAAGAAGGTCCGAGCTAAGATGTCGAGTACTCAGCTTTGCTAGAATGTTAAGATATTTGAGACACTCAGATCTGCACTAGAGCTAAGTTTCCCAGCAAGCACTCTCCCTTGGGCACATAAGAGATTGACAGATGATACAATGACAATTTTCTACAACAAAATGCCTTGAAAACAGGTGCCACACTGCTCTTTCCTCTCTTCACATAAGGGTATGTTTAATAAGGTGGGAAGCAGAGTAGAAATGTTGGTATGTACCATACTACTCTTCTAGTATGATCAATAGAAATGGCAAGAAAGCTAAGATGTTGCCTTTGCACCCTGAATTTAAACAAAATGCTAAGCAGATTCTCAGTACAGATATTTGAGTGCAGTGCTTGCTAAGATCATACGATTTTAGCAAAGAAGGCATCAGGGTTCAGGTGAACTTAGAGCCATCTTAATATCAAGGTATAAGTGTAGTAGGTGACCTTCACCGAATTCAATCGAGCGGGGTCGAATGGTTCCAACCAATCAACGAATCTAGACCTCGCAGTCCATTACAGTTGGTCAAATAAACCCATCAAAGCTGCAATAACCAGAGCGATTGTGGAGTGCTAGGCTAGAGTGGGAATGGGGAGAAGTGGTACCATACCCGCTACCGGTTCTAGTACAGTACCGGTACTAGTATGCCAACAGTGAAAAGCAAACAAATTATCACCAAAGCTTTGGTGGTTGGTACTCTAGTAGTTCTAGCTAGTAGCTCTATGCATAGAAGTACCTACTGTATGACACTCATCTGGTGGCTTTGAGATCACGATAGTGGATGTTCTCTCAAAAGCTTCATTGGATTCTGGCGACGGCAAGGTTTTTTTTGCCGGATCTGACACGCCAAATTGCATCCTCTACCGTACGGTATCTTCTACTGAGTACGGTAGCTAGTAGAGAGTACCGGTAGACTGTGTATGCATGATATGTCATTATAAGAAAGCAGCTATGCATACCCGTGGTACCGGTAGCTATGTATGGCATATGTATGTCATACCACCAGAGATGGCGATTATTTTCTTCAATCGGAACCAATGTCTAGCCAGCCATCCATGGCCTGACTAACTCCTCTGTGCAGTACGCATGCAGAGGCAGCATCGCATCATTTCCATTGTCGCGATTGCATCGCCATTGTGCTGTCCTCGATCGCACTAGCGGCGTTTTCCGGAAAACCAAGCAAGTGGGCGACCATGTGGTTTGGCTCTTACCCGGTACAGTCGTACCAGTAGTATAATAGTGTTCATGAAGGTTTGTTCTAGTAGAAGTTTATTAATGCTCTGATACATGCTTCAATTAATCTGGTTTCCCGCCACGCCCGTTGGCGGTTGATAACACTATAACCGACACAAGGGTATCACTTAGACAAATCGGTATTCCTGTCACGCTCCTCATCCTCAACCTCATTTTTTGGTTCATTCCATTTGTTCCTTCGTTCCCTTCCTTGGTAAGCAAAGCATCAGGGATGGCCATGGTCCAGCAAGGCATCGCACCGATTTCTCCTCCTACAGACATCAGCCATCAGGATCAAGGCAAGGAACAAGATAATCTTCCAATGAGGCAGCTCCAGCAGGAAGACTGTGAAAACAGCAGCCGACGTCACTGCGTGTACCCTGAAGAACTCGATGTGTATTCCCAGCCTGTTGCGACAGGAGTACCCAGCGTCGAACCCTCCAGGGTCCCAACTAAAGCCCCCACAGAGATTCCAACTGGGGCTCCCACTGTTACTCCCAGTGCTACTCCCAGTGTCAAGCCCACTGTCACTCCCACTACCAAGCCCACGGGAGCTCCGACTGCGGCTCCCACTGCCAAGCCCACGGGAGCTCCGACTGTGGCTCCGACCATGTTTACCACAGCTGATGCGAATGCCAAACCTCCTGCTTCTGATCCTCAAGCCAATCCTACACCTGATACTACCACAGAAGCGCCAACCAGCATTCCTACCAAAATTCCCACGGCAGAACCAACTCGAGATCCAACCAAACTTCCCACGAAGAGTCCATCGCAAGCACCAACCCCAACACCAACAAAACAACCTACCAATGAGCCATCAAAGGCTCCCAGTGCTAACCCTACCGATAGAAACACCAATGAACCTACCAAAATTCCCACTGATAATCCTACCGAAAACACCTCTGAGCCTACAAAGAATCCCAGTGCTATCCCGACGAAGAATCCCAGTGCTACCCCTACCAACTTGCCCAGTGCCGTCCCTACCAAGTCTCCCAGCGTGAAGCCTACAACTATGACTCCAACAAACTCAGTTCCCACTCTGAGACCAAGTGAAAAGCCCGTGACCGAGGAATCAATATCAGCTCCATCAGTACCACAGTCCACCCGTTCTCCTCGTCCCAATGAAGCGTCTTATGAGTTTACACTTTCTTTGGTCCCTACCGGTACTGAGGAAGGAACGACTGCTGCTGGCTCTACTCCCATTCCAACAAAGAACCCTACGTCCCACCCAACCAAAGACAGCATCAATCAAGACGTCACAAAGACGACTCCTACCATTACTCCCACCTTTGCCACGAAACAACCACACCAAACTTCAATGCCCACCGTGAAACCAACTCTGGGAACCATCGACAAAACGACTCCGTCCCCTACTTCGAAGCGCCCAACCTTGAGACCCAGCAATCCTCCGACGGTACGGCCGACCAGTCACCCAATTCCAAGACCAACTATTGTCCCAACAGAGGTGCCATCGACAACTGGAGCTGGTACCGATGTCCCAACGTTGGTGTCATCGACAACTGGTACTAGTACCGGTATCCCCACTCGCAATCCTACTTATAGTGCTACGGGTAATCCTACAAGTGCAGACTCCGAAGAGTCTGTAAATGGTGTGCCAACCGTTGCTCCGACGGGATCGGAGAGCACGCAAGAGCCCACTGGTACAGGTGCTACAGCCAGCCCTACCTTAGTCCCCACAAGAAAAACGTTGCGTCCAACACAGGTTTCTACATCGAATGCTGACCCAATGCCCAATCAATTCGCCCCACCCACGCCAGGACCAGATGCCACAACCAACCCCACAGCCACAGCCACAACAACAACAACAGTCCAGCCATCCTCGTCCTCCCCTGGCGCATCTGGTAGCGCCCAATGCGAATCTGACAGTGAAGGGAACTTCGGGCTGACTATACCCTTGTACTCGGACGCGGAAACGTCGACAGGGAGCAATGTCCATCTGGTGGAATATCGATACCAAGTCGAAACCACGCCAAAGTTCGAGATCACTGAAGACGACCTGAACAGCGGCATATTGCGGAGTATGGAAAAGGCCATTAGCGATCTGTTAGTCACGTCTTTCTTCCCAGCGAGTGCGGGCTTCCTTTGCAATAAAGAGGCCAGCACCACTGGCAATATGAGCTCTGCTGCGGAAGTATCGCTGTCAAAAGCTGCTCACTTCCATAGAGTGCTAGTGGGGGGCGGGGATACAGCCACTCAGTGGGGCAATAAAACAAGCAACGTGGTTGTGGGGCTCGCCGCTGATCCTCCAGACCTTGTTGCTGCGGGGATTGAAGGGGGTAAGTTTTGCTGCACGTGTGTTGTGGCGAGAATCCTTGGCTTCGTTCGTTATTGTCGATACTTATCCCCGTATTCCCAATTATCTTGCCGCAGTTTCCTGTCCCTTTCCTCTGCATATCGCGATTTCTGAAGAAGACTTGGGAGTTCCTGCTTGCTATGTGATTGACGGGGAACTATCCATATTCATGGGTGGGAACATAGAGTCAGCCGGAGATTTGTCGTGGGTGGACAACATGGTTCAGCAGGAGCTGGAATTTGCTATGAACACGGGCGAGCTTGACGATGTCGATCCTGCGATATCCTTCGTTCGATACATTCCATCGGAAACGGGCTTGAATGACACGGACACCGGTAGTGGAACGTCCCCAGGCGATGTTGTGTTCATCGAAGAAGAGCCCGTGGATGTCACTCTATCGTCCACTCCAAGCTGGTCCTGGATCATAGCAGGGTTTGGCTTTGTAGGTATTGCCCTTGTTCTTGTTTTCATTACGGTTTATCAACGACGTCAAAACATTGAGGGCAACGATTTTGAGTCGACAAGGAATTCCCATAGAGGAGCATTCCCCGTAGTCGAAATCGTTGACGAAAACTCAGAGTTCGACAACGATGAAATATACAAGGACGACGAAGAGGACGAGAACAGTATACTAGAGACGCACCAACCCGCTAGCTGGAGACAAGTGACAAATCGTTCGCAAACAAGTGAAGAATATTCCCATCTTGAGATCAATAGCACCGACCCCAACCAGCCAGTGGTCAAGCCCGTTTTGGATGAAGAAGCGGAGACGTTTATCAATAATGTTTAGTAGTTGTTGCCAACCATACAGTAGCTCAGAAGTACATGCAGCCGCACACAGCGATACAAAGAGTAGCTAGCTCCTAGTTGCAGCACTTTGTGGGGGCTGCTCCACAGTGGTGGGTGAAAGGTTGCTTTGGGCGCCCAAGCTCTAACATAAAGAACAAGTACTGCAGTTGAGAAGTCCAACTAGCTAGTAGAGAAGGCAAGGCCTCCTTCCGAAGGCTGAGTACAGTAGTGCCGCTGTCCTTTGGCTACCGGTACATGGAATGGATGCCTTGAACAACAATCCCTACCACGCACTTGCAATGGCTGCATTGGAACTGCCAGGTGAAGAGGCCTGACAACGTATGACCATACACTCTTCTGGGAGGTTGCCCCCTCCTCTTGATGCCTATCATTAATGTACCGGAATCATAGCGGGGTTATTTGGAGGAGGAAAGACCCGCCACTGCTCTAGTAGTTATTAATGCTTCATTGAAGTTTCTCGTTGCTACCGCAGTTTCAAGCAACCCGATGGGTGACGCTGAATGGTGCTTGGCTGATCATGCCTGGCTACTATTAATAGCTAGTGGCTGGTTCGCGCACCACAAGCAGCCACCCAGACATTGGTCTGCAGTGAGCAGGTGAACGAGTTACTGCAAACGGTTTGTATTATTGGTTTGACCTGTGGCGATTATCTTCAAGGGCAAGGCCAGCCATCTGGCAACGCTGCCAGGTCAAGGCCACTCCCACGATGCCTGGATATTTTCATGCTCTCCACCACGTAACTGTCCCCGTTGTAGATGAAGTTGCTTGACTTCGCCACCTTAGAAAAGCGGCTTCCAGAGGAGAGCTTGGAGTACTGGTGTACCATACCGGTAGCAGACCGTCACTGCATGGCTGTGTCTTATTTATGCAGCCATCTTGTCGTCTTGTGCGTCTCCGTCCCGCGAAAGTACGACGAGTGACGAAACGAGTCTGATACCAGCCACAGGTAGCTACCGTATACCGTAGAACTGCCAACTAATCTGCCACATGCTGAGTAGAAGGCCTCACAGAATCGACTCGACTGAGACTCTGACGATAGACGCAGACATTTGTGGTTGGTACCTGGTAGCTGTTGGTTTCGAGTTTCGAGGCCAATAGGCTCCAGGTCAGACCCAAGACAGAGAGCTTGCGGTAGCTTTTCAGGCCTGGAACTGGAACAACGGCAGTAAAGCTAGTGCGAATAGCTCCCGGTACTGCTCTCGCTGGCTGGCTTAGTACATGCCTACGAGTATCGTATGCCTAGCTAGACTCTACTACTAGCTACCGGTAGCTAGGACTGTGACCTATGAGTCGAGCACTGAGCACTACTCTGCAGTGGTGTGGTGGTTGAGCTCATTATGTCAACTCAGCACTGTCGGTAGAGCTGTCGGTACATGTAGCTATCATAGCTAGCTAGATTGCGATTCAGGAGCTTAACCAGTACCGGTACCACTGCAATTCCTTCGACACTGTATTTTCTGTATTGATGCGTCATTTGAGGTCAAGGTTGTTTCAGACTTTCTAATCAATTCGACTTGAAACCTTTTACCTTTTTAAAAATAAGGCTGTTACTAGAGTAATCTCAAATTATTTGCAGTCTACTGAGGTGCATTCCTATCCGCGAACATGTGGTTCGTACGTACGCCGAGAACCAAAAGAGAACCACATTTATTTTCATTTAGTAATCGCGTATGTGGCTTCATTCTTAACCATTCGCAGATACGTCATTCGCGAATAAGCCCAACTCTCCCGAATTCTCAGCAGGGTTAGGGTGAAACTATCCCAGCAAGATTTTGCCAAAACGCAATCACCGTGCGTCAGGAAATCTCGTGATAATAGCACATGATTGTTCTTTGAAAGAATCTCGTTGGGGGCTAGTGCCTCGTGCATCATGTTGATTCTCGTGCATCATGTGGATCCACAGGCAATCATGTGCATCCATTTGTGGCTCCTCTTTCACCACAATTTCCCTTTTTTTGAGTTCTTCCGATCACCGTAATTGAATCGAATTTCACCGCACTCTCCACCCGTTGTCACGATGAGTGAAGATGGCAGCGATGGGTCCATTGATATAGGACGGCAACTACAGGAGTCTGACGAGCGGAACAAG